TCCTCCCGTGCTCCTCCCCCCCCCCCCCGCCATGCTACCCTCCTCTCACCTGCTCTCCTCCACGTCTGCTCCCCCTGCACCACCTCCTCGGGGGAGCTCTCGAGGGGACATGCACGAGTGGCCGTCCAGCTTGGGCACCCCCAGCGTGGTGTCGTCGCACAAGCCCTGCCCGTTCTGCAACGCGACGCGTTCAAACATGCGCAGTAAATATTACGCGTGCTCGCTAGAGGAGCTACCGTGGGAAGAGACAGACGACGCGAGCTATGAGTCAGAATGCAAGGAATTCGAGGTCATCATCGATGTTGATACAGAGCACGTCCGCAAACAAATCATAGAAGTGGGGATGCCACACTGCCCAAAACATAAGAAGGCGAGGGGGAGGGCACTCCGCTGCGCAATGCCTGCGTTGGGGTTGCGCGCGAAAGATGGGATAGAGCATCACTACGACATGTCGAACCCTGGTTTGTACATCCTGGACCCAGCAAAGCTAGAATCCAAAAAATTGCCGTTCAAAGTTGTGTTCTGGCGATCGACGTGGGACGGTTCCAAGCTCAAGGATGGGGCACTCAGAAGAAACCCTGTTTTTAATTTCGAGGTTCTGGGAACGTCTCCATACAGGACGGTGTCGCTTGACACGTTGCACGCTGTCTATTTTGGCGCGTTCAGCCGTTGGGCAAGTTGTGTTCTGTGGCGGGCGTTGCTGGAGAATCCCCAGGGGATCCCTGGGGGGCAAACGCAAGTTGAGGGGCAGGGGTGCAGGCGGCTCCGGGCTGACTTTCTCAAGTGGCAAGAGGATGCTCTGATTCCTGCCGACAGAAGGATTTCTGATTTGACTGTGGGGATTCTCGGCGGCAAAAAAAAAGCACAAGCTGCACCTCCATGTTTGCATAAAGGGTCCACGCTGAAAATGAAGGCGGCGAAAGTCGTTATAGTAATGGAGTGGACTGTTTCGATATTGCGGAAATGCAAAACAAAGGTTTTCTATCAGGATCTGCTTCGGTCAGGTGAATCACTCATTGAGTGCCATGCGATCCTCCGAGAGCTCAACCACCCCCTCGTGGACATACCGACGCAGCAGCGCATGATGGTCCTAGCAATCGACGCGCTTTCGAGCATGAAGAGGGCATGCGTCGGTGATGTGCCGACGCTGCACGCCATGAATCACATCACAAAGAGGAGCGGGTGGCAAATCATGCACCACATGCAAGTATCATGCGCATGCTATGTTATACGCCGACACACGCGGACAATGACGCATGCATGTATGATCTGATTACTCGCCCCTGCGGGTCACCAGATCAGATGTTCACATTGCTTGCCCCCTTCCCCCGCTCCCCCTGACCACAACGAAATTGCTTGGGCTCCTGGAGCTCCACGGCGTATCAGGTGATCGCGCCTCCCCTCCGGACATGATGAACACATTCAATTTCATACGAACTCATACGCAAACTCATTCGCAACTTCGTATGCAAACACACGCAAACTCATACGAACTCATACGAACTCATACGCAAACTCATACGCAGACTCCTGTCAACCAATATGCAAACCCATGCAGAAATCAGAACGTAAGAATTGATGGAAGTGGTAGATGATGGGTGATGGTGGGATTTTGAGGCAATTTGAAGAGCTACGAACACTCGTCTCAGGTTAATCCAGTAGCAGGGGTAATAACAAATCACGTTATCGTAAGCCCCCCTCGCAGGATTCAGTTCCAGGGTTCGCCGAAGTGGCATGCAGTGTGGACAGACGAAACCTTGAACATGGTTCTGAGGCGGGTAGCTCAGGCGGCTCACGCGCTCCGTTTGCAAGAGAGAGCGCTCGCAGCATTCAGTCTCATATGATCCTTAGGTCTAGATCGATACATTTCTCGGCACCGCAGCTTATGACTAGCATCAGGCGCATGACAGTTATTGTCGTTGCGCTTCTTGCTAACGTTGGTGCTGCTGCACCTGCGCCGTCCATATTCAAGCAAGGCCCGCCATCAGATATTATCAACTTAGTGGAGTTTTCGAACGCGATTCCAACAGTGAGATTGTGCGACCCGATACATGGCGACAAGTTGATCGAACTTGGCACGAAAGTGATTTATCAATGCATTGCTGTTTTCCCCGGCCGCTTGAGGCAGTTGGATTTCTGCGAATTCTTCGCCGGAGAATGCGAGTTGAGCAACGCATGTTGGCGCAGAGGGCTAAGAGGGGTTTCATTCGACAAAGAGCTGCATCCAGGACAAGACATGGCAACAATACGCGGATTCATTTGGGCTGGCATCTTAGTGCTATCAGTTGCCGAGGGTGGGATGATTTGGTTTGCGCCTCAATGTTCGACGTGGCTGAATTTCATTAGTGCTGTTTGCATGTGCCGCAAAGAGTCGAACAATTTCGTTGGCAACACCAACAGGAAGGATGTTCGCGAAGCGAACGCCTGTGCCCGTTGCATATCATATCTGATTTCAGTGTGTGCAGCAAGAGGTGTGGTGGACCGTAGAGAACCCGATGTCCTCGCACTTTGTACAGTATCCCATCGCTCCGTCAGAGCATGATCGCGAATGGCGGGGTGCGCTACATAACATATGGTGCTGCTTTTTGGGTGGAAATCTTTGAAGCCTATGTTACGAGTTCCCAATGTCAGCCAAGATATCGTGTCTGCATTCGTTTTAATGACCCGCAAGGAAGCTCGTGCTATCCTGGGTCAGACCACAGGTGCTTCGCCTCTCACAAAAGTGTCTGGCAAGGAACAGATGTGGACCAATGGCAAGCACAAGGCCTTGACTGATTCGTCCGCGTACACTCGCCAGTTTGGCGAGGCAGTTGCGAAGATGATTCGCGCACTGTTTGACTGAATAGTGGCTGATGATGAGGAGTGCGATGATGAGATGAGGCAAGTGGGTAGAGGCAGAGGAGGACATAACATCATTTACAGAGAGAGCTGACACACCCACAGCAACCACTGCCCTTGTCCGCGGTGCCTGAGTTGGCCCCCGAGCAGCGCGCGCAGCCCTGCAGCTCGCCCATGGCAGTGGTGCCTGAGATCGTGGGGGCACTGTGCTCAGACACCGCCATCGCTGTCCCTCTCAGTCAGTCTCCTATCGTCCACGTCGCCCGCCCCCCCTCCCCATGCCCCCCCCTGCCCCCTCCGCGCCTGACCCGCATCCACCTCAAATTCTTTTCAAGCCCTCCTCCTCCAGGCTCGCATGGCCCTGGGGCCCATGCCTTTGCACACCCCGCTTACAGAAAACTGCGCCGAGGTCCCAGTGAAATCAAGTCGCTCGGAGAGGACGGAGGAAAGAGAGGAACACGGGGAAAGGGGGGGAAAAAGGTGGGGGAGGACAGACGAGAAGGGGGAGCGCGTTCAGATCCTGAAATCAGAACGACTATGGACACGGTCTGACCGCGCACTGCCAAACATGATTCGAACCAGAAACGCGAGCCCAAATCAGCAAGCAGAAATTGCTTCACCATTTCCCCAGCAAATAAGCGATACAAATCGGCGGTGGCCCGCAAGCGTGTCCGGTGAGCAGGGCCCGTGGACTGCAAAATTTGCCGAGGCGTGTCCAGCCGTGGTGATGTCCCGTGATGTCAGAATGACCGCCGTGCCGCGGGGCCGCTGATGCCTTCATTCGGCCCCCCCCTCTCCGTCGGTGCCATTCAGGCTGAGCTTCCGCCCCAGTGAACCGATTCGGACTTGAGGCTTTGGATCGCAGCTGCACCGCCTTCCACTGCAATGGCGGCCGCCACCGTGCTGATCGATTTGACGATCCAGCGCGAGAAGCCCACCAGCGGTGACGGCGCCCAGCAGCACATGGTCGCGGGGAGGCTCCTGACCAACATGAAAGTGCTTGATTGCTGGCTCCCGCTCGTCGCGCCCGTCTCCTGGGACCGTGGGAAGGGGACGTACGTGTCCACTGTGGCCAACCTCAAGAAGATCATCGAGACGGACTACTCGCGCTTCCACGGCTCGGCGATGAACATCTACAAAGCACTCGGGGCGACGGCCGATGGCGAGCCGCTGAAGGATGAGGAGCTCGTGCGGCTCGACCAGTGGCTATTCGTGATGATGATCCGCGCGCCTCCGACGGCGCGAGCTTCGAAGGTGGACTGGCCGCCAGCGAACATCAACGCGATCTCCATGCCAGTGTTCTGCCACGATAAGGGGGAGTGGAACACCATCGAGCTGCTGAATCGCGAGGGTCCGATGCATGGCCGCGTCTTCTCGTCTGTGCAGGACCTCAAGTTGGCAGCTCTCAAGTCTTTCGGCTACGACCTCAGCGGTGATGACGAGGCCGTTCGCCATGTCAACGTCTTCGGCAACTCTGCAGGCGTTGCGGCTGGTTATCAGTTGTCCGACACCTCGCGCGTCGTGGACGGTAAGTGGCACAGCATCACGGTCGGCCCATCCGAGGACAGGCCTCACGGGAGGGCGCCGACTACGCCCGAGGGCGACTCGTGGGATGGCTGGGACATGATCGCCGCCGAGGATGACAGACAGTGAGTTCATATGCAGTTCGCCTGCAAACATAACCCGAGCTGTTGGCAACTCTTTTACGTGATCATATGTCACGGACCTTCGGCCGTCGGCTGCGTGCATCTGTGGCTCGCCAGCTTCTTGCTTGCGTGCCAGCTATGCACTATGTGTGATATTCGTTGCACAGCTCGGAAACGCGTCTGAAAGTTTTGCACCTCCGACATCAGAGGAGCTTGTTCGAACCCATGAGGACCCATGCGAACTCATGCGGCCCCGAACGCGCGCTAGTCTCACACACGCCCCGAGCTAATACGAACCCATACGTAAACCCATACGAACTCATACACTCCTCCTCCTTGCACTCCTTCGAGCGCCGATCGAGCGCCGGTGCGTTGAAACTCGTCCGAGCCCACGCGAAAACTGATGCAAACCCAACCGCCAACTCAGCACGCAGGACATCAGCCCCTGGAAACATACCCTGGAAACCAGCACCTGGAGTTGCCACCCTGGGTCAAGCTTGTCTTTGCGAGGGCACGATGGCGCTCGCATTCGCGCCGCCTGATCTGATGGCGGCCTTGCCAAACCGTACGACTGAGGAGAGGCGCCGCTTCGTGATGGACAACGCCAGGACTTCTGCCGTCAAGCTGCACTGGGTCCAATGGGCAGCCTACGGGGTCGCCAGGGTGCCACCCGACGAAGACGACGACGACGCCGTGCCCGCCGAGGTCATCGAGGAGGACACGCAGCGCGAGTACTTCAGGGTCGACTACTTCGGAGACCGCTCACCCGACGACACGCGCTATTGGGAGAGCGAGCCCGAGTCGGTGACGAGCCCGCAGGTGGATCGCGGAGAACGGGGGGAACCCGACACCATAGACGTCGACGACCCCACGGTGCAGGATGGCGCCGAGAAGGACAGCGACGACGGCGACTCCCAGGTGAAGGATGGCGCCATGGCCGAGAAGGACAGCGACGACTCCAGGGTGAAGGATGGCGCCATGGCCGAGACAGACAGCGACGACTCCGAGGGGAAGGGCGGCGCCAGCGAGCAGCACGACGCCAGCGAGCAGCACGACGCTAGCGAGCAGCTAGCACGACGCCAGCGAGCAGCACGACGCCAGCGAGCAGCACGACAGCGACGACCGCGAGTGGCTGTGGGCGCTCGTGACGGACCGCGAGCGGATGCGCAAGTTGTTGGAGGCGTGAGTGCTCGAGCCTGTTCGTTGGGAGGGTTAGGGAGGTGGAGAGGAAGAGGAATTATGAATATGATAAGTGTAGGAGGGAGGAGGAAGGAGGGAGGGGGGAAGAGGAGGACGAGGATACCTACGAGAGAAATCAAAGAGGATGAGGAGGATGAGGAGGATGAAGAGGATGAGAAGGATGAGGAGGATGAGGAACGGAGGCGAAAGACCAAAGGGGGGAAGGGGCACAATCGGCCTGCGCGCCATCGCGCATGCCCGCGGCCGGCCCAGGCCCAGCAGCTGCTAGTCCGAGCCAGGCGGAGGAGGAGGGGCGCCCCGCCTCCTCCTCCTCATCCTTCCTCCTCTTGCTTTTCTCTCCTGCTCCTATTCCTCCTCCTCCTCCTTCCTCCTCTTGCTCTCCTCCTCCTCGTCCTCCTCCTCCTCCTCCTCCTTCCTCCTCTTGCTTTTCTCTCCTGCTCCTATTCCTCCTCTTCCTCCCCCTTCCTTGCTCTCCTCCTCCTCGTCCTCCCCCTCCCTCGCCCCCCCCCACCCCCCCCACCCTCGCGCCCCCTTCTCCTCGGCCCCCCCTCCCTTCGGGCGAGGGCTCGCCCTGGCAGCTCCAGCCGATGGGCGGGCGTGGGGGGGGGGGGCAGGAGGAAGGGGGGATGCGTGACACGAGAACCAACGACAGCTCAAGATAACGCGGCAAATTGGCGAGATTGTCTAAGGCGAAACGCTTGTTCTTGTCGCGCGGATGTAAGCAAGATGTATTCCCGAAGAAAGTAAATAGCATTTTGCAGAATTAAGTTAAGTATTGCATACACATACTGTTAAACACAACATCAACAATACAGTATCAATGATTTCAGTTCGTGGGGTCTGGCCCAAGACGCGGGGTCTGACCCCAAACTCTGGGATCAGCGGGGTCTGATCCTAAGACCCCATGGGTTCGACAGGAGAAAATAGACCACGAAGCGGAGCTGGGAGGGCCAGTGCGCGGCGCGCGAGACATGGACCGCAAAATCCGCCAGAAACTCGAGGCCCCCGTCGTTCAGAAAAGACCGCCATCTGGGATGCCAGTTGCCCGCCCCTTCCCCCGCGTGCTCGGGGACAGCGCGACAACTCGATCGAACCTTCTCGGGCGTGGGGCGGGCAAGGCAGGTGGATAATTCCGCCTGTTCCCATGGCCTGGGCAGCTCGCCCCGACTCGGCGCCGCCGGGCTGCCAGAGGTCGATCCAGTCCACGGCGGCCGCGTCCACGGCGATCAGCGGGTCGGTCATGGCCAGATTGGCACGGCCCCTGGCTCCGCCGGCGGGGGTGACGCTGGCCTTCCACTCGAACGCGCGGTGGATGAAACCCGCGCCGCCAGCGGGGCCATCTCGCAGCCGCTCTCGCCAAGCCTTGGCTCGCTGCGACTGGAGGGGGCCCTCGATGGCGCGTGCCCCCCTGGGAGCGCGGCGCTGGAGCTCCATCGCCCGAGGGGCCTCGATCTGCAGCGCGTCACCCGTTCTGGCGAGCACAGCCAACCACGACAGCTCCGGGTGAATCTCACCCGAGTCGTTGCCCAGGGCGCTGCACCAGCGCTCGGCGCTGTGGGTGGGGCGCCGATGGAGGCGGCGCCAACGGCTGGCCAACGGCCCCCAGCCTTGGCTGCGCGCGGCCTCGGCCATCAGGATCAGGTCGCCCGCGCGCGCGGCGACCTGGCGCCGGGCTCGGGGGCGCGTCGAGCCTCGCGGCCTCGCATGCGCCTTTGGGCCTCGCCAGCGGGGCGCGCGCCCATCGTGGGGCGCCCCCGCGGCCCCTGTAGTCCTCCTCTCCTCGGAGGTCGAACAGCCTTCGGAGGTCGGTCTCCGCTGCCGACGAGAAGCGGCGCCAGAGGTCGTCCAGCTGCTGGTCTTAGCAGTGCGCGTTCGGGTCGATTTGGGGCCCTTCGGGCGGCTGCGGCCTGCATCCCGCAGGCACTCGAGTGGGGAAGGCCCGAGGCGCGACCAAACGCCAGCCCGTCAGCTCCCGCAGCGGTCGCGACAGACAGGGCTGCGCGGGGGGGCGGGGGCGCCCGCCGTCTGGGCCTCCGCGAAGGCGTGCGCGATGCGCGTGTCCACCACGAAGAAAGCGATGATCCTGCCTCCGCCTCGGCCTTGACAGGCGGCGTCTGCAGGGGCGAAGATGATGCCCCCCACGTCGCTGCACCAGCCCCCGTTCTTGAGCGACTCTGGCGCATTGCTGAAGCCGGCCTGCAGAACCCACGGCGTGTCGCAGGAGCGGACCAGCTCGCCGATGGCCTCGAGGATTGACAGTTTCCGAATCGCCCATCCCTCGGCGGTGCAACAATAGGCCGTGACGAGCATGGGGCCTCTTCACTGAAAGCCCGGCGCCCATGCGGCCGCCGGCCGCCCATGCGAGTCTGGCGGCGAAAAGTCGCGCGTGTCCACGCCCTCCAAGTGAGCGAGGCCGACGCACCCGGGGGCCACGCAAGCCCACTCCAGCACGCATCCCCCCCTGCGGGGCGAAGGGCGGAGGCGGCGAGGCCGACCGCGAGGTGCCTGGCGTAGCATGATGCACTGACCTCGCCGATGAGTCCGAGGAGAGCTTGTGCTCCTGTGCGCAGAGGAGCGCGTCGAGGCCTAGAGGATGCTCGTCGAGGTGGTCATGCTGGCGCTTAGCCTTCTGATCATCATACCTGTACTGGCCCCCTTGCCACGGGATGGGTCCGAGGTGCCAGCCAGGCTGATCACCTCGCCCTGGGCCTCCAGCGCGAGGGAGGGGAAGTCCATGTCGATGACGCCGTGCACGATGGCGGAGGTGCCAAGCCCTGGCCGTTGTCGAGGTCTTCGATCTCACGCCGCATGGCCTCGAAGTGCTCTCGCCATCGCCTCAACCATTCGCGCGGGTCCTGAGAGGAGAGGTGCCGCGCCCGCCGCGAGCACCGTGGCCGCTGGCACCGACGACTGCGGAAGTCCCCGACGCAGATCTCGATGGCCACGTCCGCGCGGGCATGCGGCATGGAGGTTCCGTCCCGCTCCGTGCGCTCTAGGAAGAGAGGGCCCAGGCGGCATGGGTGCTCCATGAACCTGGCGGCAGATGGGGCGCAATACTGACGCCACCATTGACTGTCCATGTCCTCCTCGATGGTGTGTGGGTTCCCCATCCAGTGGCCCGTGTAGGTAAGTAGACGGTGCTCGAGGGTCCACTTGGCTCGCGGCGCTCGGCGCCGCTCGGGGTTTGATCCATCAGGCCCTTGGCGGCAGCCGGGCGATCTCACGGCGGCGCCGCTCGTCGCCGCAGGCGCCAGCTCCCATCCTGCGAAGAGCTGGCCGCCAGGCGCGTGTCCACCGTCGGCAGGCATACGTAGCACGTAGCCGGCATTGAAGAAACCGACCTGCTTGCCCGGCGCGGCGGCGGCCCTGGGCGGGGGCAGCGCAGGAGCAGCGGGGCGCTTGCCGCGGCCTCGGCGCAGCCCTCGGCGAGCTGGGCGCCGCTGGATGCGTGCAGCATCTTGGCAAGGGGTGGGGGCCAATCGTGGTGCCGCGCTCCAGCCTGCAGAGGCCGCGCTGTCAGTCTCGCCTGACTGGGGCCCCAGGGGCTCCTCCAGCTCTGGCCAGGATGCGATTCCGCCCGGCAGGGTCCAGAGGGGGGCGCACGTGAGTCCTTGCGCTGCCGCTTGCGCCGTGCCCAGGAGAGTCAGCAGCAGGCCCGGTGCCCTGGCCAGGAGGTGGGGCGTGGGTGCCCTCTGGCCCCCCCCGCAGTTGGCCCCGCTGCGCCCTTTCCTCCTTTGCCTGCGCCCTTCCCTGCTGGCTGCTGGGGCGGCGGCGGCGCGGCGGCCGCGGCGGCGGGCTCGAGGGCCGCCGAGCGGGGCCGCGTGGCCTTGGGGCGGTCCTGCATCTTCTTGAGCTCTGCGCGCATGGACTGGATGCCCTCGGCAACGGGCCCGAAGTGCTTCTGGGCTCCCCCTTTGATCTGCTCGACGAAGGTGGTGACCTGCCCCTGGAACTGCGCCTTCTCGGTACCTGAGATGTCCAGGCCCTCCAGGTCGAAGAGGGATCCCGCGGCGACGTCCAGGACCTCCGCGCCCTGCTCGAGGAAGCGGGAGAGGTCGAGGGCAGCTCCCTGGTGCGCGGGGCCAGCAGGCGCCGCGGGAGCGACTGAGGCCGCGGCCGCGCCTCCCGTGGCCGCGTCGGCGTAGGCCTGGGCGGCCGCGGCCTCGGCCTCGGCCACCTCGACGATGGCGCCCCCCTGCTCCGTGCATTTTTTTCGAGCCACTGCCCCGCGTCGGCGACGGCCGTGATGGCCGCCTTGGGCGCGTGCTGTGCCCTGCGGACGCACGCCCGCGCCACGTAGCGCACCGCGTCGGCGCGCTCGGAGGGCGGCGGCGCCAGGGCGAGGGCGAGGCCCTGCAACCGCTGGGCCGCGACGACGTCCTCCGACGGCAGGGCGGCGCGGAGCTGGCGCGGGAGCTCCTCGGGGGTGGCCCGCGTCCGCCTCGGGCGACTGCCCGCCCGCGACGCTGGCCCCCCCGGCGACGCCCAACCCCCCGACGGCGCGCGCTCCTGCGACCGCGCGGGCTGCAGGCCCCTGCGGCAGCGGAAGCATGTGGCGCTGGTGACCCAGTTCCACTTGTAGCCGCGGGCCCTGCACTTCGCGTGCTGCATGGCCTGCTGCTCCTGGTTCCAAGCCTTCGCCCCGCGCTTCCCATTGCCGCCCGCGCGCAATGCCGCGGAGGCGAGCCGGCCCACCGGGGGCCCGCGAGAACAAAGCTGGTCCCTGAGAACGCCGCGTTGCCAAAATCGCCGAGGCCGCCAGGGGAAGGGGCTGCCCTCCCGCCTCGGCGGCGCCCTGGGGCCAGACAGGCAACGGCGCCAAGGGCCCCTTTGGACCCCGAGCGGGGCCCGGAGAGGACATGAGCCAACATTGCTACGGGGGAGAAGGAGGAGCAGGAGGAGGAGGAGGAGGAGGAGGAGGTGGAGGAGGAGGGGGGGGAAGGGGAGGAGGACGAGGAGGAGGAGGAGGAGGAGGAGGAGGAGGAG